CGTGTTATTAGCGTCACGTGACTTCCGCTGTCGTAACAATATGTACTTAACAATATAGAAGTTAAGCGTTTTACAATCATGTCCATAACTATCTAATAATTTGGAAGTTGACCTTAAAATAGTTTAATACATATTTACATAACTATCTAGAAGTTGATTCTGTTTTATTCGTAGTTGATAATAATGAAGTTGAAAGTTGAAAAAACTTAGAAAATGAAAATTCTAACGTTTTATTGAATTTTTCAAAATTGTATGCATACCATTTTTATAACATCTAATATTTTGTTTTGCATTTGTTTAGAAATTTGCTTAGAACTTCACCTTCTGCTATAGCCTATGTTAAGCATGACCCCAGAGACTCGTTAATCCTGGATGAAGACTAGCGTTGAAACATTCATGTTTTTGAACTTGGTCCTTCTGGGTAGCTAACTCCTTGAAATTGTATTGGAATTGGTTGATACTAAATAATCCACGTACCAGAATGTTGTTCATTCCAAATAACTTTGTGTCCGCTGGTCAGATGAGGTTTATGGTAAGGAATTCTCACAGATTCGAGAAGTTTAAATAAGATTGTAATAAATTCTGAGTGAAGCACAATCTCTCACTTTTTTCTTTCAGACTTCCTACAGATAAACTACACTATTTGTGGAACTCTAAGGAAAGTCACAAACTTTCCTCTCCAGAAGATAAGAATATTTGTCTTTGTAAAACTACATTCCGTCGATAAGCCATTCTGTGTGTTTGTTGCACATATTTTGTTAGCCTCTTCCTTTACAAACAAGTTGTTTTTAATTAAGATTCGTTTATCAGATCCGAAACCTCTTATTTTTTTATATTTAACACTTACCTGTTGAACATCGGTATGACTGAATACGACAAAATAAAAAGGCAAAGTTGGAAATTGACAATAAAACACTTGAATGAATGTGTAGACGTTAGTAATGAGACAGTTCATTAAATAACAATTAATACTGTCCAGTCTATAGCTATGGCTACACATTAGAGGGATTTTTTTATCACCGGCTTTCCTCCCTCCAATTATGGAGTAATACATTTGTCAGACACATAATACAGTCCAGGTGGCATATCACCTTCCCTAATTTCACATGAATGACCAAGGCATGGCACCCAGTCGGCAGCAACCTCCAATTTCCCCTTTTTTAGTATGCTGTCTAGTTATGTATTAATTAACTTGTTTTTACTTTGTTCAATCTATATACTACTAAAACTCTGAGATTGTTTGTGTGTTTGTTTGTCTGTAATTAAATACAGCAAAAACGGTGCACAATACCGACATATTTGTATTGAAATGAGAATATAAACAGAATAAAACAAGTTTCGTTAAAATCGGGCCACGTGTTACCGAGTTAGCCCCATTTTTCGGGTAACTTTTCGTACATTCGATTATTATAAAACTTCGTTTTTGCACCCGATGTATCACTTTAAAATATCTTCTATAC